CCCCAAAACCCCAAAACCCCAAAACCCCACAAAGGTAGAATTCTGATTATTTGTTTAGCAATAAGAATTTTGTTAAATAAATACTACCTCTATAATAAAATGGCTTAAAGTGGAAAAATAGCAGACCACGAGGCAAAGGAATATTTAATCGATGATGAAATAACAAGAGATGTTGAGGTTGATATTAATAAGTCAAGAAGAATCACAGATTAAAGCAATAATATGAGTAGTGGAAGGTTTGGTGATGATATTGGAAGTCCAGACATTAAAATCAGAGCAAAGGATTATCCAATGAGTCCATTTAATGCTTCAAGAAGAACTGCTTGGTAAAGAACTTTTGGTCCAATGGGCCAAGGTAGTCTTAGAGGAAGTATATTTGCATTATGCGCAGTGGCTATTGGAGCAGGAGTCTTATCACTTCCATATGTTTTAAAGTAGAATGGTTGGATTCTAGGAACTATTCTAATTTTAATAGGTGCTCTTTCTGGCTATTTTAGCATGCAAATGATCATCTAGAGATCTATCGATACTGGCTGTAAGAATTTTTCAGAGTTAGCTTAGATGGCTGGAGGAAAGCCTCTTACTATTTTACTGCAGATTAGTATTCTATCCTTTATGTTCGGTGCCTGTGTCTCCTATTAAATAATCAGTAATTATTATTTCTCTAGGAGTTTGATCTAATTTATTCTCCTATAGTTACCAAACTATTTGTAATTTGCTGTAATAATTTTGGGTTATCAACAGATATAACTGGATCACCTGATCATGGAATCACATTGTTCAAATCACTCTAAACAGTAATTACAACTGTCTGCTTTATCTTTCCCTTGTCAATGGCAAAGTCTATGTCTGCATTAAGATACATCTCCATTGTCTCCATCGGTTCTATTCTATACACTCTCATCGTAAGTATGAAACTATCATAACTATTCCATAGGTAATGTTAGCTGAGCTCCCAGAATATGCTAGTTATTATTTCAATAGAGACTAGTTCATTTACTTTGACATTAACAAGAATTTCTTCCAAGGTTGCTCAATTACCTTTTTCTCATTCACTTGTTAAGCTTCTATTTTGCCTATTTACTCAGAGTTGGTGAATCCAAATGAAAGAAGAATGATGAAAGTTATTGGAAGAAGTTTGATTATAGATTGCATTTTCTATTGCGCTATCGCTCTTGTCGGGTATTTCTCAACTTATCAAGCAACAACTGATCTAGTTATTGCTCGTAGTCTCCCAGGAGTAAATCACGACTATGCTATGACTATTTCATGCATTGCTGTTATTCTAGTAGTATTAGTTAGCAGTCCAGCTAATTATTTCCCCTTCAAAAACACAATTAACTTTATGATCACTGGAACATCAGATGTCTCAAACAAAATGTAATTTAAATTCTCAGTAATCTTTCAGAAATATCATTTGCACAACAATATTTTGTACTTGCACTTGCGCAATTTCAATAGTCTTTCCGCAAATTCACAGTGCTTTATCCATCACTGGAGGCTTTAGCTCTGTAAATATGTGCTATTTAGTCCCTCGTAATTTTTTTATTTGTAAAGACTCTTCAGTGATATGTTATGTGAAACTTGGAAAGGAAAGATGGTATTAAGGTAGAAATCTGGGATATGTTATCTTCTTCATGATTCTAAGTCTCATTGGATATACTTCAGTTGTCCTTACAGTTATCGATATAGCGCAAGGTAATTCTTGAGAAGTAAGAATAACTTCTCTAGAAATAATATTAATCCTTCGATTATTATCAAATTACGATTTAATGTGGTTATCATACATTTTGGGGTTTTGGGGTTTTGGGGTTTTGGGGTTTTGGGG